GACGAAACTTGGACGATGTACTTTGACGAAGCGTCAAACCAGAACGGGTATGGGATAAGGGTGTTGCTGATAGCTGATAGCACCCGAAAATTCCCGTATCCCTCTAGCATTCAAACTCTGATTCAAAGTCTTGAACAACGAAGCAGAATATGAGGCATGCATTGTTGGTCTAGAAGCAGCCCTGGAACTAGGGGCAAGACGGTTGAACGTCATTGGGGACTCGAATCTTGTTGTATCCCAAGCTAAGAGGGATTGGAAGGTCAAAGAGGAAAAGATGATAATGTACCACCAGACCTTGGATCTGCTGATTCCTCGGTTTGAAAAGCTAAACTTCACTCATCTACTAAAAAAAAATAACAGGTTCGTAGATTCACTAATAACTCTATCTTCCATGATAGACATCCCGTTTGGAGTCCGAATGCGTCCAGTCATTATCGACCAGAAATTTGTGCCAGCTTTCGAGTCAATTGCTGCTATAGATGAGGTTCAGGATGAGAACCCCTGGTATTACGATATTTGGAATTTCTTGGAGAATGAAGCATATCCACCAGGGGTAAATGCTAAGGATAAAAGGATAATCAGAAGAATAGTCGTTCAGTTCATTATCTGCAGAGGTAAATTGTATAAGAGAGGTCATTTGGGAATGCATAAACTGTGCGTTGAAGCTGAAGAATCGAAGCGCCTGATAGAGGCCATCCATGGAGGGGAATGTGGTGCACATATGAACGGAGTAATGCTAGCGTGAAAGATCCTCAGACAAGGTTATTATTGGTCCACCATAGAAGAGGATTGTATCGGCTTTGTTTGGCGATGCCACAAGTGTCAGATCCATGCAAACCGCATGAACATTCCGCTGTCGAAGCTGTACAATATGACTTCGCCATGGCCATTTTCAGTTTGCTTTTGTGAGAAAAACCGAGCCTGAGGAAGGGATCGAATGGGCATGAGTTCATCCGGGTTGCGATAGATTATTTCGCGAAGTGGGTCGAGGCCCAATTGTATGCAGTGTTGAAGGCGTCACACGTTGCAAAGTTTATCAGAAACAACATCATTTGTCGCTATGGGGTCCCGAACGAGATCATTTCAGATAATGGTTCCCACTTCAAGAAGGAAGTGATTGACTTGTTGGAGAAATACAACGTGGCTTTTCATAAGTCATCCATATACCGGCCGTAAACCAATGGAGCGGTTGAGGCCGCCAACAAGAACATCAAGCACATACTGCAGAAGATGGTAAACCTACCGAGATTGGCCAGATAAGCTGCCGTTTGCTCTGTGGGGCTACCGAACTTCAATTAGAACTTCTACTGAGGCGACTTCGTATTCATTGGTTTATGGGATGGAGGCCGTTCTACCTATTGAAATCGAAGTTCCGTCTTTGCGAGTACTGGCTGAGTGTCAGATAGCCGAAGAAGATTGGCAGCAGAGTAGATTTGAGGAACTCATGCTCTTTGATGAAAGAAGACTGAGAGCATTGTACCATGTTCAAGGTTATTAGCGCAGAATTGCCCGGGCTTTTAACATGAAGGTTAAGTCTAGGAATCTATAAGAAGGAGATTTGGTGCTCAAGGACAACCGAGCTCCCATCCACGACCCTAGGGGCAAGTTCAGACCCAATTGGACTGGTCCCTACATCATTAAGTCTATCTGGTCAAGTGGAGCTGTGGTTCTGATGGACCTACATGGCCTAGAGTTCTCCCAACTGATCAACATGGACAAGTTGAAGAAATATTACCCCTGAGAGGCTCGCTAGGCCGAAAACCTGAAAGGGCGACCTAGGCAAAAGTCAGAGCACAAAAAAAATTAAAATTATAAAAACTGAGCTCGCAAGGTTGAAAACCCGCAAAGGGCGGCCTTGGCAAAAGTTAGAGCGTAAAAGGAGAGTGAAAATACTCGAGTGAACCCGAGCCTGAACTACGTAAGGCTTGATTCCCATCTTTGGGATACGTAGGCAACTTCATCCTAAAGTTCAGCCATAAACTTTTCCCCGATCAACTTTGTCCATTTGATCATCTCGACCATCTTTGTCTGTTCAGCATTCAAGAGTTCGGTTATGATCTCCGGTGCAGTGCTTTTCAGACTAGGGGCAACTTTCCGTTGCTGTGCAGTGCCGCGGTACTATTCAGACTAGGGGCAACTTTCCAATTGCTAGGATCTGAGGTTGTGCATCTCAGTGATAGATTTCATGCGTGTCCAGTTCTGATCCATATCGAAAATGATTTTGAAAATTTTTAATAAAAGTTGACTTTGTTCAAAATTAATCTTTTTACAACATAGACCATTTTTGGACCAAAGTGGAAAATTTTCAGTACCCACAACCTTCAATTTCATTGATTTCACTACCGAGTTCTCCTACTCTTGCATACAAATTGAAGTTGCTTTTTATTACATTAATAAAGAAAACTTGAAAGTACTAATAAAACAATAAATCCGGGGCATAGATAAGTCAGGTGTTCCTGCGCCCACTCCCAGAGCTGGTTGAAGCCTCTGATGCCAAAGTGGGCCCTTCCTGTGCCTCTTCATTGAGCCAATCCAAGCACTCATCAGAAAAGGTGCAACTGAAAGTGGGAGTGGGGCCAGGAGTTCTCTAGTCCTCCATGTTGTGACATACCGGGCAAGCTGTGCGCCTCGGGCTAGGAACGCAGCAGGGTACTCTATCCCCACTGGCAGGCAAGTCTGATCATGCCCGAACTAACGCCGGAATCGGAACGGAAAATAGAAGACACAGTGTGTCATGCCAATCAATTGAATCCCAGGTTGACGGGTCATGTTGTAACTCATTGCCGGCAGATTGAGCCAAGGGCAGCACCAAGCGATGCAGTTTGCAGACAAACTGCACATCCAGTTGAACCACCACCTCTCATTAAGGGCATCGACCAGGCGTTGTCGGAAAAAGTAGCTGCGAGCTGAGTATGCGGGGCAAGACTCCACAATCTGTAATTTGTCCATCAACCACACCTGGGGAGGGATTGAAAAATGAGAGAATAAAGAATAGAAAGCTACAATTCGCCATCTAAACCATGTTTGGCTCTACACTCCTTCAATATGACATAAATCATGCAAGATTCAACTTAAAACATGCACAAGAAGACAATGGAGCTACCTTTAGTCTTGTAGTTCAAGAAGGGAGCTCAAATATGCAATCTACCCTTCAACAATTCTTCAATTTCCAAGCAATATTGAGATGAACTCAATTCCTCAAGTCTCTCTCTCTCTATGGTCGGCTAAGGGTCTCACAAATAGGCCAAAGAAATGTTTGATTCAATGTATAAGGCTCAAGTGTGTGTGCGAGATAGTGGTCCACTAGGGGTAGTTCGGTAAATAAGGCCAACTCTGCAATTGATCAATATTTAATCTAATTTAATCGTACCTAATCAGTTTTCAGATAATTATACCATAAAATCATATTAAATATGACGATCATAATACACTAACCCATTTCCGGTTCGGCCGCCGATAAGGCCTTCAATTAATAGTTTAAACATAAAACACGAACAAATCAAACAAACAGTCAACAGATAAAATACAATTCAAACAGATGTATTCACTCAATTCAGTTTCAATTTCGGTCAGTCAGTTCAGTACTTTAATCAGTTCAATCCTCAGTCAGTTATCAGTCATTATCAGTTCCGTTTAACAGTAATCGGTGATTATCGGTAATCAATCAGTCATTAATCAGTAAACAGTATGAGGGTTGTTACAAAAGCGTCTAAGCCCATCAATGTCTCAGCCAATGTCATGGCGATGCAGCTCTTGCCCTCCTTCAAACCTTGGGCAACCTCGATCAACCGGACACTGAATCCACCAGAACCCGGGGCAAGCAAGAAGTGAGATTGCAAGAATAGGTAAAGCGCGTGTCACCGATAGCCCTGCCAATGATGGTCGTCGCGGTCACCAGCATCAGAAAACCAGCGAACCAAGCTTGGGATATCCAGCTCCCCGTTGTGAACCAATGATCGAGTATCATGCAAAATGAGGCCGCACATTCGTCCTAGGGCTTGGACGTGGCCAAATCGGAGTTGAGGCAAGATCTCCTCATTGCGCTTGGATTCCATCAAAACTTGGAAATCCTCGAAGGTAGGACACATCTCTTGCCCGCTAAAGCTAAAGACGTGTGTTGTTGGATTCCAAAACCTTGCCACGGCATGGAGGAAAGGAAGATGCAGCGGAGTATGGCCCAGCGTGAATAGTGCATTCAAGCCGAAGCTCAGGAAGTTCAACTTTTCCGAGCCGTCTAGAGAAGCAATCCAAGCTTTGAGATTCTGGATGAGAAATGCTTCCATTTTGATGCAAAACTAAGATGAAATGAAAGAACCACGAAGCTGAGACTTTTATAAAAGATAAGGCACTATTCGGGGGACACGTGTCAAGAATCTGGTAGTGGCTAAGCCAGGTAGCCGGCCGACCACCTGTTCTGGTAGGCCGACCACCCCCCTTGGTCTCTGATGGAAAAAGCTGGTCGGCCAGTTCCCTATGATGGTCGGCCATGGAGGAAAGTAGGGCTTTGGTCTTATCCTAGCTTTTGGAAGAGAATTCCTAGCATTTCCATGCATCGAGAGTGTTGAAGGTGCGAATTTTTCTTTGTTTCAGATGCGTTCCGTCACCCAGATCGTCTGAAATGCATTTTGTTTATCGAGTTGTTGTTAAGTCTTGCTTATCGAGTTATTGTTTTGCTTATCAAGTTGTTGTTTCATTTGTCGAGTTGTTAAGTTTATCGAGTTGTTAAGTTTTGTCGAGCCATTGAGTTTTGTATATTGAGTTGTTACTCTTTGTTTAATCAACATTGTTGTGTCTTGTTTATTGAGTTGTAAACATGCTAAGTATGTGTCTTTCCTTAGTAAGTTGATTGTTTAGTTTGTTGTGTCGGTTCGTTACCTGACTTGGCAATTTTCAGTGCACAATTCCATTCAATCTCATTTTCGTGCGAAATGATGCGATGCGATGCTAAGAATATAAAATGCAACACTTTTTTAAAAAGCTATTTCATTCCATCATGCTTCCTTTGTTACAACATTTTATAACAAGGGTACAAGTTTTACAGAAAGTAAAACTGCCTAATAATGTACAATGTGCTACAACTACTAGTAAAAAAAAAGGCAAATAAAGCAGGGAACAACTGTATCAATGCTATCAAGCACAGGAGTAAGAGGCCTTCTTCGTTCTCTTCTGCGGAACAGCCTCTGCACCATCATCGTCATCTGAATCGGGGCTGTCATCCTCAGAACCCTCCTTGGCCTCATCTCCACTACCGGAACCGGAACCAGAGCCACCCTCTCTGTCAGCAGATGTCTCTAACTGAGGATGTGCAGGCTCCTCCTCCTCGCTGAACTCCTCCTCCACAACAGGTGCTCTGTGTCTGCCTCGGCCGCGAGTCGAACCCCCTCTCCCAACTCCCCGAGAAGGCCTAGATGGCCCGACCTGTGGCTCAGTATATAGCGAAGGCATCTGAAAAGAAAGAGTGCAATTCGAATACATCAGCCAAAATATGTATATCAGATGCACAGACAAGAAAGCTACATAGAGTGGATGTATGCAGATATAGTACATGAATGTGGTGTGTGTCAGATGTGCTCTATACATACAGTCAATCAATGCAGTGAAATGTTCAAGTTCAGCATGTCATCAGAAGTATGATAAATGCAAGAAAGCTAAAGAGTACCGAGACACCGAGGATGGACAACTGTGCCTCCCTCCGCAAGACCATGCCCTCAAGTGAGGCCACCAATCCGAGCATCCCCTCCATGTACTCTCTGGGTGGCTGCAGATACAAGCTCAAATCATCAATGAATAAATGAGTGTCTAAGTATCTAAGTGATAAATGAAAAGCAGTGGAGCATACCGGTGGTGAGTCAGGATCACTGACGTATCGATGATCAGCTATAGGATGTTCTATCGGAATCGGGTAGGAAGTCCCGTATCGCCAACCCGTCAACTCGGTTAGAATGTCTGGCCATCTGGCATGATGATAAGTCGGGGGGATAGGGGGAACCAGTCCAGCCCCACCTCTCAATGTGCCGGCTCTGCTGGTCGAAAGGACATCTGCAGCCCGGGATCGACTCGATGATGGCATGCCAGCAGAGCTCCTCGTGGGAGTACGAACACCTGTCAACGGAGGCATCAAGTATGTATGACGGTAGGTCGCGTACTCCCCCTCCTCCAAATGCAGAAGTACATCAGTACCCAACATGGCCAACTCAACATCCTGGGGAGTGAGCCCCTCAGTGGACCGCATGTCGACCAGAGGTGCTGCGGGGACACTCTGCTGGGGGTAGCCCATAGTCTGACGCATGAAGCGATCCCCCAAAAACCAGGCCCTACCAACGGGCCCCTCCAATAAGATCCTGTACCAGGAAGTGGTCCACCCCCTAGCAAGCTGAAATCGGGTGTTCCCACCCAAGGGCGCCCAGGGCTGCCATGTGATCTGCGGATAACCAATGCATGAGCCGATTAGAAATCATAAATGTGCAATATGAATCAAAGATGAAAATATGGAGAACTGAGAGTTCTGAATTACCTCTGTCGGCCGCATTGTGTGAAAATACTGCCGCAAGTAGGGCAAAGTCTCTCGGGCCCTCGGCCTGTACTGGCTCTCGAATACAAGTGAATAAGGGGTCGTGAAAGGCACCGCCACCTCGAGCTCCGGGGCCAGCGTCGGAAAGTACGCGAAAACCCATAGCTATAGAAAATAAGGCAATAGCCATCAGAATACAGAATGCTGAGTGCAGGAACGTGAATACAGAATGTATAGAGAATACAGAATGTTGAGAGCAGAATGCAACGTACAGAATGTAAAGTGTGTCGTGCGTGCAGTGTACAGATAACGAAAAGTAGAAATGTAAATCAAAGAGGGCAGAAAGTACCTCCCAGGCTCTCCAATAACCGCCGACTATGTTCCCCCATCCGCGGGAGGTCGTTCTCATGTAGCAATAGAGGATAGCCAAGCCGGCGCCACCCCAGTCATACCGACTGACCTGTGATAGGTCTACCAGGGCACTCAGCAGATAGAGTCCGACGGTGTTCCCCCTATCGGAGAACAGGGTGGTCCCAAGGAGGAACATCAAAAAACTCGAGTGTACTGCGCTGTCTCCTCGGGAGTCTCGGGCTCAGTCCCCCTGAAATGTGTGGAGAACCAAGTGTACCGGATCCTGCCTGATGCTCTGTCACCCGGTGGGCGAGCTCCCAATAGATAGATCCAGGCGGTCTCCCACTCGCCCATATCCTCATCATAAGGGATCGCCCAGCCTCCCACGTCAAGGCCTATCATTACAGCGAAGTCGAACGGGGTCATAGTCATGTCCCCGGTGGCCAAGAAATGGAAAGAGTTAGTGGTGTCCCACCATCTCTCTACAAGAGCCCCCATCAATGTCCTGCTAGTAGGATAGCGAGATATCCCAGTGCAAAAGGGTCTGAACCCTGCCTGGTCAACCCAATCTCGAACGACCTCCAGGAGCTCTGTGTACCACTCCCTCGCAACAATGGAGTCATATCCTCGTGTGACACAGGAAGACACCTGCATTCATAATGAACACATGTATTCAGTTTCAGAATGAAATGAATAAGCTACGTGCAAATGAAATGTATAAGTTGTGTGCAAACCAATCAGATACAATGCTGTGAGCTGTGTACAAATACAAGTGTGTTCTATGCGTTCACCTCAAATTTGGGCTGCGTGTTCAGAAACTCAGAGTTTGAGCTGTGTGTTCAGATTTCAAAATTAGTGGGCTATGTGTTCATCTCAAAGTTCGAGCCGTGTGTTCAACGTCAAGTATTTGAGCTGTGTGTTTAGATTTCAAAATCAGTGGGCTGTGTGTTCATCTCAAAGTTCGAGCTGTGTGCTCGACATCAAGTGTTTGGGTTGTGTGTTCAGACTTTAAAAATTCAAAGTTTGGGCTGTGTGTTCAACTCTTAGCAAGTGTGTGTTGTGTGTTCACAATAAATATGCGGGCCGCGTGTTCAGAAATTCAAGTGATTGGGTTGTGTGTTCAAGATGCAAACGGAATACTGTGTTATAGACTAAGTGTTTAGAACAAGCTGTGTGCTAGAATGAGCAGATAAACATAGCGAAAGCATGAAATGCATAGAAAATGCATAATACATTGCGAAAAACGTAAAAGTGAGGTGCATACCTCCCGTGCCTGATGAGAGAGGTGAGACTCCAGCTCCCGTAATAGCAAATCCACGGGTGCTCGATCATCAAAAACGATAAAATGGTAGAAGACGGCCCGAAGGAGGATATGATCCCGAGGGTGATACCTCTCGGGATCGAAGGGCCGAATCCTCGGGGGTAAGGACATGATGTCTGGATCACCTCCGGCACCGGGAGGACCTCCACCATAAGGAAAATGACCCGCCATCTTGAAAAATCTGTAAAAATGAGCAAAAATGAGCAAAATAAGCCAAAATTGGAAAAAGTCAACAAAAGTCAACTCTCGGGAAATGAAAAAGTCAACAAAAGTCAACTCCTGAGAAAATGTTCCAAATATTGAGACAAACTTACCTCAAGTGGTGAAAATGGAGAAAGAAGCACCGAAATCAAAATTTAATCGGTTCAAAGTGAAGAGAACTGAAAGTTTTCGCGAAACAACTTTGCGTGGGACATTGGAAAACGCGTATAGAGTGCAGATCTGAGGGAGAAAATAGTTTAGGAAGGAGGAGAAGGTGATTTCGGATCTAAAGATGTGAGCAAAAAGGGCTTTGACCGAGTATACTTAAAGATTCAAGTGTGAAAGTACCAAATTGCCCCGAATTTGGGCTAGGTGGTCGGCCGACCACCTTTTCTAGTAGGCCGACCACCCCCCTTCACTAAACATGGTCGGTGACCTCCAATGGCCTCCAAACCTGGTCGGTGGTGCTCCCAAGGTGGTCTCCAAGGTCTCTTTGAACTCCTTGCAAATTTTGGTAGTGATCGGAGTCCCGGCACCCGAGAAAGTACAAGGAAAGTGAACTTTTCGTCGCGAAATCCCTCCGCGGGAACTTCAACTCCAACTTTCGATGCGTGTTTCATCGTTACTCGTCAAGAGCGAGGTGTATCTTTTTTGAATATGTTGTGACCCTTCCGGGAGGTAAATCGGAGGCCGCGATTGAGTCGCCCTCGTCGAAACTTGAATTTCTTTGCTCGTTGTTTTGTGTCAAATACGCATTCGAGTTTGCACTTATCCTGCATTGTTATGCACGTCACTTGCATTCTCATGCACATCACTTGCATTGTTGTGCACGTTTCATTGATATTGTCATGCCTCCATGCGTAACTTGCATTGTCATGCACGTTTCTTTTTGCATTGCGATGCGCTTTCTCATCGGTACCTTGTTCATTTGTGCTTAACATAGTGTTGAACATATGTTGCTAACTATGTTGTGCTTGTTAAGTTTCCCTCTTTTACAGACACGATATTGTATGTACGGTTCATTTGAGGCTGGTGTGACCAGACGAGCCGTGCAGGTATTGTATCTCCTCCGTGTGAGACGTGGCGAGAATTGAATAATTCTCCGCATTCTTAAACTGCATGAAATGTAGTTGTTGCTTTGCATTCTTGCTTAAAACTGTTGCATCTATTATGAATACTTGCCTCATTACAGCTTGCTGCTTTGCATGATCATGAGTTACGTCCGGCTTGGTGTATTTCATTCTGCATTTTACCCCTGCCTGCGGCCACATCTTTGTTTATCTCGCCTGTTTGTCTAAGTCTTCGGCCTTGTCAAAAATGGGTCGCCTCTGGGCTTTGACATTCATTCCCATCACTTATGACTTCCGAGTTCTGTCAAAGAGGGGCAACTGTAGACACCCCATTTTTAACCGGCCCTAAGACTCAGACATCACCGGTTGAGCACTCGGTGATGATATATATTGTGCTCATTCTGAGGTTTCAGAGTCTCGGCTGCGAGCCTTGCCTCCGGACTTCGGAGCTCTTTTGCGCTTTGCCTCGGTTTGCGAACCAGGTCCTGTTTTCTCTATTTTCTCTTCCCAAAGGGAGAGAGAGGCCTCGGAGACCATCTTTCAGTGGCCGTAGGCTATGTTTCGTGGTCGTAGGCCATTTTTCCCGTTTGGAGACCAGTTACCAATTTTTCGGAGCCGTCGGTCGTGTGCCTCGATTCCGGACCGCTTAACTACCTCCGTTTGCTCCGATTTTTGGCACACACCTTGTTTCCTCTCTTTTGAGGGACATTGTGGCCCGAGAGACCACCTTCGTGGTCGCACACCACTTCTACTACCTAACAGCCTGTTTACAGGGCCCCGGGCTGCGTGTTTTGGCCCCCGAACCCTCGTTTTGCATCGGTTAAGGTTCATTTTTGGTATGGACCCTATTTTCATTGTTTGAAAGGTGGTAGGATGGTGGGAGACCAGAAATTCTTTTGAAAACCATTTTCTCTCTCCTCCAGCCAGTTTTCTTGACAGAAATCCGATTTTTCTCACTTTTGGACCTTAATTTCTTGTCTCCCATACCACCATTGTGTTGTACTTATCTGGGAGGCCACTAATATGGGTAGGCCAACCAGTTTTTCTTCCTGACCCTTTTGAACCTTGCTAGAAAGCTAGTTTTTCTCTCTCTTGGGTCACATTTTCTGGTCTCCCACCATACAGCTATATTCTACTCATCTGGGAGGCCACCATTTTGGTATGGCCGACCAGCATTTCACCTTGACCCTTTTGACCCCTGGTCGGCCGACCAGGAGAAGTGGTAGGCCGACCACTTTGGCTGGTCGGCCAGCCTTCT